GAAAAATCGCTTTTCCTATATGTAAAGTTTGACAAATAATAGTTAACACTAAAAGTACCAAACATGTCAAAATGACTTGTCGGTACAATCTTATAACCATGATTAAGATATAATAGCAATACATTTCCTCAGCCCTTTTGCAACTTTTATTACGATATGAAAGTGAAGAAATTGGTTAGTTTATAAATTTGTAAATTTTCAAAAGTTTATCATCGACCGATGGAAATAGATATGCGTTCATCGCCGGTAGTTCTAGTCTTAAGCAATAGTCTGTAAATATTTATAGAGCACCTGAAGTTGTTTATATTTCCAAACACAAAAAAAAAATACTCTCCCGTCAGCAAAGTGTTAAAGAACGCGAGTCGTACAAATTTTCACCACCACGTTCGTGATCGAATGGGGAACGCACGATTTGTTTTTCACAGCGGCAGAAGGTCATCGGTGCACGTTCCAACGATTAAAAATCCGCTTCCTCAGCTGGAAACGTAACCCGCGATACTCCACACGGCGGCTTATCGACGGTATTTATTTCGTTCGTGAATTCCCGTCTACGATATCCACACAGCTGACAACGGACACCGTCAACGCTTGTTACAGTCCCTATACGTCGACGTGCCCCGCAAATGTTGATGCATAAATATACGCAGATAAATAATACATAAGCGACGATTCTGATCGGAAATCTGTCGATTCGATACGCGTTGACACATGTAAATAGCTTAGCAAGGCGGCGCGGTTTGGAGAAGTGGCCTGGATTCGAGATACCGAGGTGGAGTACTGTCCAGAGGTGGAGATGAACGGGGAGGAAGAGCCCCCAAGATAAGCGCCGGTTGATATAGTATCTATGGAGAGAATGTGTGGGACTTAAACGTAAACAGTCTGTAGTTGTATAAATTGGGAGAGGAAGCCTCGACGATGGACTGTGGGTAGTCTTGGGATTAGTAGCTAACGGTCCAGGTGGCTTTAATTCAGGTAACTTTGATCGATGTGGGTGTAATTTGGGTAGCTTTGGTTAAAGTCGTGTAAGTTCGGGGTGTGTCGGTTCGGGTTTGTTTTGGTTGGTACAGAAAATTTTCCTATGGGTAATTTTGATCACGGTAGTTTTTATGCTAGTAGCTTAGGCCTGAGTACCTTTGGTCTAGAGTACCTTTAATCTGAGTAGTTTTTGCCCTTAGTACATTTTGCCTTGGGTACCTTTGATATTGAGTACCTTTGATCTTGGGTGACATTCATCTGAGTAGCTTTGACCTTAAGTACCTTTTATATGAATACCTTAGGTCTTCAGTACATTTGATCCCAATAGCTCAGGCTTAATCAACTTTGATTCGAGTAGATTCGACCCCCGAGTAGGTTTGGTTAGCCAGTATTAGGCTCAGCTAACTTAAAATTAGGTAGCTTATGTAGGTGTAAGATTCATCAGATGACCTAAAATGGCGATGCGAGTATACACGGATTTAAGCAGATCTTCGGGTAGTTGTAAAACTAGATCTATATTGATGGGTGTAAACTGAAACGTTACAAATTTGCTCAGAGTGGTCAGGGTTAGGGATGTGAGACAAATGTGAATTGTCGGAAGATTGTGTTTCGTTTTAATAACGACTTAAAACGATGAATTTGACACTATAGATAATTATGTTTAGCCCGCGAAATATAAGGGAGCCATTCTGTTCGATTAGGCTAAGATACAAGGGATTTGTTGATGGCTCGAGTAACCCGCTCGATTAGATCCAGTCGCCCGAAAACGGGAGGATCCGGGTTCAAAACCGGTCCCATGACCCTGTTTTGCCCGATCCTCTTTCACCCTATAATTCTCAGAGCCTGGGACTTGCCTTTGTGCCTTCACCGTGTCGTATTATTTAGCGTTGTCTTTAAAATCTTCAGTTTTCAGACCATTCCCGTCCCCGAGAATGTTTATAAACTCTCCAACTTTCGTAAATCAATTACTTAACTGTTAA